AATAGTTTCGGCCGCAACTGCTAAAAAAATACAAGGCATCATGAACATAGCGGCTTTTGTTCGGTGCCTTCCCACACGCCCACGGGTTGACAAGCTTATTCCAAAATAGCTTCGGCCCCGCAACTGCTATACTAGTACACGGATGTACAAGGGATCATGAGCATAGCGGCTATTGTTCAGTGTCTTGCCCACGGGTGTTGACAGGCGTTTTCCTAAATAGTTTCGGCCGCAACTGCTAAGAAAATACAAGGCATCATGAGCATAGCGGCTTTCGTTCGGCGCCTTCCCACACGCCCACGGGTTGANNGCCCCGCAACTGCTATACTAGTACAAGGATGTACAAGGGATCATGAGCATAGCGGCTATTGTTCAGTGTCTTCCCCACGGGTTGACAAACGTTTTCCTGAATAGTTTCGGCCGCAACTGCTAGAAATTTACAAGGCATCATGAGCATAGCGGCTTTCGTTCGGCGCCTTCCCACACGCCCACGGGTTGACAAGCTTATTCCAGAATAGCTTCGGCCCAGCAACTGCTATACTAGTGCAGGAAGCGCATGTGTCCACCCGACGGTCGAATGCCCCGCACCGGTGAAGCTGCTGCCCCCACTGTGCCCCTTCACAAGCGCGCTTCATGACCCCGTACTCCTGCATCTCCTGCAGCCGATATGGCTGACATTCCTCGCTGCTTGAATCATACAACATGCTACATCAATGTGGCTCCGCAAGAAAAGCCAGATGACAGCCAAAAAGCAAGTTCATGAACATGCCAAATACAGCCCCGAAAATCGTGAGGCCAACTGCAAAAGTAATAAGACCATAAACTCCTGCAATTTACCATACCTCAGGCCTTTGCGTGCTGCGAAGTCATACCGTCACGAACGCGACCGGCGCGGCGCGTACTACCACTACTACCACTACCACCCCAACTACTACGACGACTACTTGTACTTCTACTTCTACTACTAGTACTAGTACTACTACGACTACGACTACTACGACTACTACTATTACTACTATTACTACTACTACTACTACTACTGCTGCTGCTACTACTACTAATAATACTACTACTACTTCTACTTCTACTTCTGCTACTTCTTCTTCGATGCGCGATTGCTTCGGGCAACCTGGCGGGCCTCTGGAATGACATTTGTCATGAGGCAGTGGTACTGTAGCCGCCGGCAAGCACTCACAGAAAAAACAACTCGGGCCTGGGCCCCATCTGCGGATGTCAGAAACCAGAAGCAAGACAAGACTACGCAAGACAAAATCATTCATTCCACGGATCTCCGAAGGTACCGGCCAGCTGGAGTGTGTTGAAGCGCTTCAATGCAGTTTCGGAAGAAGCAGTGATCAATGCTGCGTTTTTCTGCGCTGCAGTCCTGAGACCATACGAGTACACCCTCGGGCTCGATCCATTACGCGCCGTTTTAACGGGAAACCAAACTTCCTCAGTAGCTTTTCTGAGTTCCCAATGAATCTCCAGCTATCACGAACGTGAAAAAGCACCAAAGTGAATCTTTCTCCTTGCCATGGGCATGTAGCGTGCAATCTAGAACCATCAAACTCCAAAAATGGGGCAACCACCGGGAGCTTATCTCCTCCACGCTGACCTGACGGCAAAAGAGTCGCCGAGCTACTTCTTCGACTACTACTTGTTCTTTTTGTACTTCTACTACTACGATACCTACTACTACTGCTATTACGCGCGATGCTAAGTGGCCAATGCTTGTGGCCTTAGTTCTCAGTGGCAAAACAGTGTTTTGCAGGCTTTCATGTTGATGGACGGGTGTTTGGTGGGACAAGGTAAGGCCGCATACATGCCAGCTTAATTTGCAGAATGTTCTTCGCACGCTGATATTCGATCGGTCGTTTTTTGGATTCCTAGTTTTGCTCAAGCCGGCGTCAGCGGCCTTAGGGTTTTGTTGTTCGACAAATTGTGTCATTTTATCTTATGAAACAACGCCAATTCCACTGGCCTGATAGCGAAGGCAATGTGTTCGGCGGCAACGTGCTTCCCCATCCATGACTTCCAGTGGTCCAAGGATCGCCGCGGCAGTCCAAGCTGCACCCCATTAGTCCATGGTCGTGAGGAGTTCTGATTTTCGTATCATGGCCCCAGTAGTCCAAGATTCGCCCCATTAGTCAAGGCTGCGCCCCATTAGTGCAGGAGTGTGAGGAGTTCTGATATAATTTTAGCATTGCCCCGTTAGTCCAAGACACGCCGCACTAGTCCATGCCACGCCTCACTAGTCCAAGGTTCATCCCATCAGTTCAAGCTACACCCAGTTTCAACTTAACCCGAAAGCCCCCAAGACCCTAAAAGCTTACACCTCAACCCTAGAGTCTACCCCAACTCCTGTAAACCACAATATTTCAGCATGTTTTTTGCAGAGAGGGCGATTTGGGAGAGCGCTCAACATCTGACGAGTAACTGGCTTATGGCTTTAGATGCGCAGGTTTGCGTAGGATGTTTTACGAGATTTGCGTGCTGAAGCCGCAGTCAAAATCTTGCCCGAGGCAACAACCTGAAACAATACCTGTCGAGCCCGATCGTTTGTAGTCAGCGTTGCCGGGTGTGTTGCAAGGATAGCCTGACCGCTTTGTACTTCTCCTTTTGCCTCCACACCAAGCTCGGGTATAAAACTGGGATCTGCCCAAAGCTTTGTGTCCCGAAAGGTTCTTCTCTCTCCAAACATTGCATAGAAGGAAAATCTCGCCCACATGCCTCATGTTGGATCGTGGGCCGACTGTCCTTTCGCATTCTTACAGTGATGCATGTCATGAATGGGAAGAACGTGACACTTGACTTCCTTCACGGCCTGTGGATGCCAGTCTAGAATCTAGAACGATCTCGACAGATGACATTACTTCCCCACCCTGGGTGTTAGTCTCTTAACTTTGGTGCTCAAAAATTGGTTGCTTCATTTCGAGGAGTGGGCGCCTTGGTGCGATGCCTTGAGACCCCAGACAGGAATTTCCGTGCCGCTTCCGTGGAGGCCCGGGAAACTTGGGGCCGGGTTTCTCAACCTGCCGATGGTGGCTGGTGGCTCTAGCCTTGCGAGAATCCATCGGAAAGCACCTGAAATCTAAGATCAGAAACTTACGGTACAGTACCGGGGCCTAGGAAAGTCAACTTCGCATCAAACATGTCCGCCGGACCCACCAAAAAAAAAGTCAGGGAAAGTGGTCCCTGGCAGCCTCTGCAGAAGGGAAGTTGTCACCTGAACATACAACAGTCGGGCAAAGAACGTGAACCAGGATCGCAGCCATCTTACACAAAATCTCCTTGGGATCAAGCTCAGCCGCATGATTTCAAGCTTCCTGACCTGCCAGCTTAAGCTCGGAAGAATTGCATGTTGCTTTGGCAGCTTGGAAACTTCTGAGCTCTTGCGACCTCGTCATGGCTCTGGAGAAGGTCACTTCGCTGCAGCGCCCTGCTCTCCTTCACCTCCTTGGCAGCGGCAACGGTTCAGGTAGCTGATGTTGAGGAATTTCGTGACTCTGAGGGGAAAGCTCCGAACCCGTCAAAGGTCTTGAGCGCCACCTGAAAGGGTTCTCTTGGTGTCCATGCCCAAAGGCTGTTGACGTCCATCTCCGAGTGCATTTATGCTTCCCGCGATGTACTAGTGCCACGTTGTCTGGAGCAATAAGCTGCTGACGTCCTTGATCTCAAGGTTTCCGCCGCCATCTGCAGCCTCCTGCTGGCACCATTTCTGCGCGTTAATCAATTGCTAGTTTCTCTACGTCTGCCGTGGCTTGAAGCATGATGGAGCTCATTCGAAGCACGCACCGTGCTAGCAAATTAAAACTGATTGGAGTTGTTTGGAGCTGGATCCGAATCCTCCTCAACATTTAGACCATTCCATTCCGCGAAGCTGAGAACCTCGGGCCTGGGTCACTGACGCTGGCTTCACTTGCTTATCTGCTCTTGCTAGGTTGGGACGGTTCCATCCTGACCCCACCCTTCCCTCCGAGCCCGCCGCGGCTGCACTGGCGGCCTTTCAGGCTTCGCGGGCCTGAGGCTCTTTGAGGCGCTGCCACGTTGGCCGTTGGCGGCATACCCTTCTGCTTTCTGCCCAGTGGCGGTGGTGATGGAAGCAAGGCCCAGTCATCTCCCAGGCCTGGCCTAAGGCGGATTTGGTTCCTGGAAAAGAGGGGTGGAGGATCAACATGAACAAATAGGCATCAAAAAACAAGAGATGGCTGGGGTCCTAGAACGAAGCCACACCCGGTGATAAAATTGAAAAATGATTAAAAATCATGAAGATTCATGAAAATTGATGAAAGTCATGAAATTTGATTGAGAAATACTTTAACTTTAATGAAGAATCATGAAAAATGAGAACATCATGGAAATATCATGGAATGACGAAAAGAAAATCATGCAAACCATGCAAATGATGAACGATGCAAAGCCTGGACAAATAATGAAAAATGACAAAGCAATGAAACATGATGAGAAAATCATGAAGAATTATGAAAATCATAAACAAAAATGGAAAATCATCAATCATCATGAAAACCATCATACATCATGAAACATAATCAAAATAATGAAAAATGATGAAGAAAAATGAAACAGATCGAAGCAACAATAAAATATGACATAAATGATGAAGATGTGAAAATGACAGAATGATGAAAAAAGAAAAGGCAATTGAATTAAAAGAACCATTGTGCAAAAATGAACATGATGACGGATGTTTGCGCCAATGTGCTTTTTTAAATAACAGCGGAGGGGTTGGGGGAACAGGCCCCCAATTGCAAAACTTGGACAATGATCAGAACATGTGCGCTCTTCCGCCGCTTTTGATATCCAGCAATGTGATGTGGTTAATGATGAGAAGGGGATGAACATGATCAAAAATGACGAGATTAATAAGCATGAAAATTATGAAGATGATGAAAACGACACGAAACGGTGAAAAGCGTGAAAGTGTGAAAGATAAAGAAAGTGAATTAAAATGAGGACTAAATAAAGAAGAAAGTCACGAAAAATCGCATGTCTTTCTTCTTCTACGGGTGTTAAAGGTTTCTACAACGCTCCCAAGGCACTGCCCTGCACCCTGGCGCGGTCCCTTGCTTCCAGGGACCAACATACGGACAATCTCTAGCCGCCAGCCTTTCAAGCCCCCGTAGAACTAGTCAAGCGATTTTCACTCTTTCCTTTTTTCTGTTCTTGGCTTTTCTTTCTTTCGCTCCTTTTTGATTTGTTGATTTCTCTCTTTCTTTCCTTCCTTCCTTGCTTCCTGCCTTCCTTGATTTCTTTCTTCTTCTCCTATGGGTTATGCAGAGCCCTAGAGCTCTGCTAGGGCTAGGCCCCCCAACCCGCGCAAAGGTTCATTGGCACGTCCTTTCCGGGGGGCCCGGAGTGTCAAGGCACAGCCCCCAAGCAAGCGAAAGTCCACTCGATCCAAGTCGGTTTGGAAGGAAACCATTTGAAGGATACAGCCTACTCAGCCTTTCCAATCTTCTCTCCCCCCACCCCGTAAGTCTCTTCTCCTCACCCATCAACCTAGCCGTGTCCTTCACTGGGCCATAGCTCTTGGATCAAAGCAAAAAGTTCACTAAACTCCCTGAACGATCCCTTGCTGTAGTTGGGTGACTATCGCCTTCCCCCCTTCCTGTACACTCAGCTCGCCGGATCTCTTCCTCAGGTCACTTTTCAAAAACCAGTCTACCGCCCTTTTCAATTTCAACATTTTCAAACATCCCCTAGCGAGTCCAAACTCCAACTACAAGTCGCTCCCACCAATAAACTCGCTCCAAGCCTTATGAGGCTTCCACGTGACGTCACCGACCTGAGCGAACCTTCTGTACATGCGGTGTGCTCACTGTGCCTTTCTGCCTTCGCTGTACTCCTAAAGGTAGCCGTGACCTGCCAGCTTTTATCTCCCTCCAGCTGTTCATATTTCTTGCTACCGTGATTCTTCGTAATTGCCAGCACTTCGACTGCCTCCTGCTGCAAAAGAAGCCCCTGTGTCTCGGGCTTCTGACTTGATTGAAAAAATACTTGCAAAGCTCTTTGATTGTATCGAATTCCGTTTTCTGTTCAGTCGATGTTGACCTTTTCGAAGAGGCTGTTGCCTAGCAGTTCTCCTGTACGTTGAAGGTCCCGTCCTTGTACCTTGCATCAAAGTTTGATCGTAAATTTTTGTTGTTGCTCCGCACTCTCCTCCTTGCTTGACGTTTGTTTTTGAAGTTCACATCCTTGGGGGATTCCCGATTCCACGTTCCTCATTGTGCGCGAAGCTCGCATAACATCTGCGTTCCATTCCGGTTCCCGCTTCATCCGGTGGTGTGCGGCGTGGATCCATGGCGGCTCCCCAATGAGGAGCTTACTTTCTCCGAATCACCCACGAGTGGCTACAGTCTGTCTCTTCTTCTTCTCCTCACTGCTCTACCCTCCTCCCAAGAGGGAGGCCGGGGCACAGCCCCAGGCAGTCTCTGTCTCTCTCTCCTTCTGCTTCTACAGTCTCTCGCTCTGTCTCTGTCTTTTTCTATTTCTTTCTTTATTGAGTTTTACTACAAAATCTAATATTTTGTGGAGTTTTACTACTAAATCCCAGTGAAGAGCTTTACTACAGAATCCGGTATTTTGTTTTTTTGTTGGTCCCTATTGTTCGAGGCAACTGGTGAGTTTTACTACAAAATATGTATATCTCCATTTGATTTGTTGATGCCTGTTTGTTTTTTAAACCCCTCTCCCGCTAAAGGCATTTGCCGGCAAATGAGGCATTGCATCGCAGATCACTGAAGAAGCCCAGTCACGCCAGGTTGGGCTGCCCCGTGGTGGCCATCATCCGTTCAAAAACAGAACTCTTCAGCTCCACGCGCCTCAGGATTCAGGCGATCTCTCGCTCGAACAAAACTATCTGATGCTTCGCGCTGCTGCGATGCTGCATGTCTAGCGGTTGGCTTGGGTGCGAAGGACGGCAGGGCCTCAGCGGGGCCTTTGTGATTGCGTGGTTGGGCAGCATGACGAAACCTGAGAAGATCACCGCTAAGCAAAGTGAAACAAGTACTGCACCCGAAGCCGAGAAGCGTTCATCCACCTTGCCCACTACAACTCCTGAATCAGAAGATTTGCGCAAGGCGGTGGCCTGCTACACATCGCCAAAAGCCCACATGCACTGAGTGTAGGCAGCAGAGTGTGCTGGAAATGGTGCCTGTCCTGTGTAGCCAGCCATCGCGACATGCACAGCGTGGGCTCCGAGCACAGAGCAGTAGACCTTGACAGCATGTGAGCTGAAAATCCTTCGACAAGCCTGCCCAGGCATACTTGAGCTGTGCGACGCTGTCGTTGGTGTTCGCTGGCACGGCACGGATGGTGTAGGTCCTCGGACATTTGCTCATGTCCCATTTGTTGGCTTTGTCTCAGGGGCTGGCAGCGCTTCAACTTAAGGTCCACTAGCAAGCTGCCAAGAAGCGGATCGATGTACTTGATGGTGAGCGGCTGATGCATCCTGCAGCAAATCAATTTCATGCAGGCCAAGCAAACTTGCGTTGTAGTTGCTAGCTGGAGTTGTACTCAATAAAGTCAGGTCACTTTCTGCGGATGATCACAATATCGTGCAAGCAATAGTTACACAAGACTGCAGGGCTTGCTGCTCACTTTTGGCTTGCCGCATCGATCCCGTTGCGCTATATCAAAACGGGTAAGCAGACCTGCGGGTTGCAGGTTGTCAATTCGAGGGTTCTTAGACATCGCGAAGCGTTGCTAAACAGGAGCCGAACTCAGAACGTCCCTTGACTTGTGAGGAAAGTCTGCAGTGAAGGAGCATCATGGCGCATAGGGTCCCGCATGCCACCACACTGTCCATCGCAATAAGCCCACCAAGCCTCTTTGGCTTGAGGATTGGACCTCTGCAAATTCTTGACTTTCTCTACTAGTTCAAGCTTTGCGGTATCAGCTTCCTCAAAACGGAATCTTTTTGGAGCTGGCTCCGTGCTGAGCGGAGCCCTGCCCTTTCCATTTGTCTGAGCAGTTATCTCGTCCAGGTTGATGCCTTGCGAGCTTGCTATGGAGGATAAGCCATTGGCTGCTAGCTCACCAACGTAGTCAATGAAGCCTTTGTTGAAAATCTCATCATGCTTTGCTGGGTCGTTCTTGCCAGCACCGTACAGTGCGCAGTAGATGGTCCAAGCATTCTTCCAATGATAAGACGCTCGCTGACCCGTCTTGACAAAGTCCGGCAAGCCTGCGACTCCCCCGCCTCCGCCTGTCATGCCCCAGGCTGAGGGAGGTGGCATCATGTTGTAAGACATGGCACCCTTCATACCACCCTTGCCTTTGCCTTTGTTCCACCACTCCTCCTCAGCACGATAAGGGGATGGGGCAATGGCACCGCTATTGTACTGCTCCAGGAATGTACCTAAAATGCTTTCGTCGTGCCGGTTGGGATCCCGGACGCCGCCAAGCTGTGCCTCGCAGAAATCCCACCAAGTTTGCCTGAAGTTGGGATCGGCCCGCTGCATGTTCTTGATTTGCTGGACCAAATCTGCTTTACCAGCCATCTTGGCCTGCGCTCAACTAAACTACAGGCCTTCTTGGCAGCACCTTCTACTGAATCTACTTCTCAAGGGCGGCAACTGCCGAAACCCTGGCATGAACCATCACAGCAAGGAGAGGCAACGGTTGTCAACGGTGGTGCACAGCAGTGCAGACTGCAGTCATGCAAAGACATACAAGAGGATCACATGAATCAAGCATGGAACAGGCGTGCTGGACGCTAGAACATTTTCCGTTCTGCACGTTCAGGTCCGTTATTACAACCCTCATAACTGCTCACCAATGCCGGTAGTTGTTGAGCTGATGTCTGCTGGGCACGCAACAGAATGTCGGCAGCTGGATTACATGGCACCCTGGCTGGCCAGGAAGGCCTGCAGCGAGTCCGTGTCGTGGCGCATTGGGTCTCGCAGGCCTCCAGCCTGGGAATCGCAGTAGGCCCACCAAGCCTCTTTTGCTGCGGGATTGGACCTCTGCATGTTCTTGACCTTCTCTGCTAGGGGTAGCTTGATCTCGTCGGGTTCGGACTTGAACCTCTTGGCAGGTGGTTCACCACCCATTTGCGGCCGCTTGTTGGTGGTCTGGGCCGTGATTTCCTCGAGATTGATGCCCTGGGAAGATGCAATGGACGACAATCCGTTTGTTGCCAGCTCACCCAGGTAATCGATGAAGCCGCGGATGAACTTTTCCTCATGTCTGGCTGGGTCGTTCTTGCCCGCCCCATACAGTGCGCAGTAGATGGTCCAAGCAGTCCTATAGTGATAGGATGCCCGCTGGCCCGTCTTCACCATGTCGGATAAGCTTGCACCCATCATCATTCCCCAACCCTGCGCACCCATGTCATAGCCACCGCCACTGAAAACACTGTTCTGCCCATAGTTGCCGCCGCCACCACCGCCGCCGCCTTTGCCCTTGCCTTTGCCTTTGTTCCACCACTCCTCCTCAGCACGATAAGGGGATGGGGCAATGGCGCCGCTGTTGTACTGCTCCAAAAACGTGCCCAAGACGCTCTCATCGTGACGATTGGGATCACGAACACCGCCAAGCTGTGATTCGCAGAAGTCCCACCAAGTCTGCCTAAATGTGGGGTCAATGCGCTGCATGTTCTTGATCTGTTGGACCAAGCCCTCTTTGCCCGCCATGCTGAACTTCTGCGACCGCCAGGCACTTGTGCGTCTTCAGCGTCAGCCGCCGCACAATGCGTCGGACAAGAACTCGATTTAGCTATAGCTACACATGTGACCTATCTCGTTGCGTAGGATTACAAGACCTGACCATGCCACTTGATGAGTTCTTTGCTGCAGCCAAGACATCATCAGAAAGCCACATGCGCACGGTGGATTGCAACAACTCCTGTCACATAGGTGGTATTAGGTGCCGTATTGTGATAGGGCTCCAAGAAAGGACCATAATTTTGACAAACACCCACATGGGAAAGATATCATGTCCACAAACCAGCACAAGCTTGTCGTGCACCAGTATCAAAACAGAACGCGTCGGAATACGGGCCAACGATTTTGGACGTCATAAACATAGACGGCTCATGTTTTCACCGAAAAACCTGGGCCCGTA